AACCTCCCTCTGCCACCTCGGTAAGACCTGCCCCAACTGCCCCTGAACCTCCCTCTGCCACCTCGGTAAGACCTGCCCCAACTGCCCCTGAACCTTCCGCTGCCACCCCGGTAAGACCTGCCCCAACTGCCCCTGAACCTCCCACTGCCAGCCCTGTAAGACCTGCCCCTAAACCTGCCACTGCCAGCCCGATAAGACCTGCCCCAACTGCCCCTAAACCTCCCGTTGCCGGCCCAGTTAAACCTGCAGCTCCTGCCCCTGCTGTTTCCGTCCTCCTGTCCGACATATTTGATGCCTCGTTTGTTTCTGTATCAAACTCTGGATTAGCTTCTTTTTCGTGCTCAACTGCCTCTTCCTCCTCCATTGAAATGGAGTTTTTTTGAGGTTCACTCTTGTACTTTTCTTCATCTCTCTGTTTTGGTTCAGAACATGGTACTTTATTTTCTCCCCGTTTACTAGTAGTACATTCTCCGGCCTCGGTGGATGTTTGTGTTGTTTGCCAAACTGCAACATCTGACCCAAACAAAGCTTCTGCCACCAAGTTCCCCTCAGGGCCTGAGAAGCTAATCCACAAGTTGTTGTTGGCATTACCTCTGTTGTCATTGTTTGATTGTTTTGGGTTACTTGATTTTGTGTTATTTTTGTCTCTCTGATCTGCCTGGATGATTTCGTTAGTGAAACACCCTCCTTTGTTTTCTACCACTATCTTATCTATCATGCTCATCAGCTGTGACACCTGAGAGTCGTTTTCGTCACCCCTTGGGCTGTACTTACAATCAACTACATGATATCGGCCACCACACTTCATTACCAAATCCTTGAGACGTTGATTCTCATTGATATACTTTTCAATTGTCATCCTATTTGGGCCATGAGTAAAAACAACTGCAGCATATTTGAATGCTTCCTCTGGAAGACACTGGCAGATTTTGTCGATTGCAGCCGACTGTTGCTTTGAGGATTCCTCTACGTTCAGCACAATCAGAAGAACATGGGGACCAGGAGTGCACCTTGCAGTACACCTCGCCATCTCATCCTTCAGCTCCGCCTCAGGTTGGTCAAAATGAGCGAAACCAGGAGTGTCCAACACAGTGATTCTTCTTTCGTGGGCAGATTTGGACTGAATTTGATAGTCAGTCGTCCTGCCAGGTTTGAACACTTCCTCTCCTAAGATGGAGTTTCCAAGGGTGCTTTTCCCAGCCCCGGTTTCTCCCAACAGGACGATCCTGTAGGCTCTCAGCACTATGAAGCAATGGTGAAAATTAAATCATCATGTTCATTTGAAAGGATAACAGAAAACTGTAAACCGCTGTAATCTCTAGTTACCTTTGATGCACTTCTGAACTCCATCTGTTCCTTTGATGATGACCTTTGATGCTGCCACCAGGGAAGGGGGAAAAAAAGATTGCATTATTTATGGCTTTGTTGTCCCTGAGCTTCACTGAGATAGATTTATGATTATTGCAAACTTTTGTTTACCACCACTAAGCGTCTTCACCTCTCTTTGGTTGCACTCTCTCTGCTTGTTGTTCTTGTGGCGCTGACCCTGTTGGATTATAAACACCTACATGTACAGAGTGTTCTTCTGCAGTCTGTCTCCTGTCAGGTATTTCTTTCTGGAGAGCTTTGGCTTCTTTTTCTTGTCTTCCTGTAGCCTTGAGTTCTGGTTGAACCACGACATTCGATCCAAAGAAAACGTCCCGAAGCGGCGCAGCTGCAGGGCCCGATATTTTTATCCATGCTTTGTTGTGGACACAGTAGTCGGCCATATTGTCAGTGGAGTGGTAGGTACTCTGTTTGTCAGTGTGCATCACCATCTTCACCTATATATTTTTAGCCTCTGCTCTTCCTGGAAATGATATCGTACAGTAAGAAACATAGAAGGACAGGGACAGCCTTATCTGTGCATTTAGGAAATCCTATATACAGTAAAACTCTCAGGTAAAACAGATGAGATTTTTTTCTTGCAACAGCATGAGAAGTCCTATATTGTTTTACATTTAAAATTCCCTTCTCTACCAGTGAATTCTGGAACAGTTTTCACTTTCCTTGCCATCTTTCTAGCTATTTGT